AATATGTTACAAACTACAAAGTACTATGCATATATTGCTGCTACTGTTATTTTTAGTATCACTCAGCTCTTGCTCTCAGGTAGCCCCCAGCCTTGTAGTAGTAGTATATTATGCTTAGGTATTTTTTTTTAAGTGAGAGGCAGAATGGTGTGCTTTCTAGAAAGAACCCCGAAATGGAAGTCAGAAACTCTGGGGTAGAGTACTACATCTGCCTCTTAACTGTGTGACCTGGGCCAAGTCACTTGACCTCTGTGTGAAATGAAGGGGTTGGACTTTTGGCATTTAAGGAACTTTCTCACCCTAACATTCTGGGACTCTGTTTGGTATGACGTAGGACGAGATTCTGTCACACTGATTCACATTTTTCTCAGCAACAATATTAGACTTTTTTTAAAAAGGAACTGAAGCCCAAGGAAGTAATAGAAATAAGATGTATATGAAAGTTCCAACTGCTGAGACAATTGATCTTGGAAAGAATAGTTCTATTTGTCCCATTTTTGCTAACATAAACAAGTTTCACAAAACCAAATAGCTAAGGTATTAATTTAATAAGAAAATATATCATTCAGGTTCCCTAAGTATAATGAATAAACTGTCAAGGTGATTGACTTTCCTTTTCTAACATAGACAAAGTCAGGCCAGAACTCTTAACTGAGAATGCTCCTCCTCTCCCAAGGAGTCCCAAAGGGTAGGTTTCTCTGTTGATTTAGAGAGTCAATAATTCAGTAAAGTCCCAGGTAAATGGCAGAACACAAGCTAAGATTGGGTTTTTGTATTCGTATTTTATAAACATTTCAGGGTTGGTTTTTTTTTCCTGACCCTTGATCTTTTGCCATTCTTAAAGTGAAGATTTTATATCTTGGAAGCTTGGTTAGAAACAACCTCAGGGTCATCTCATCCAACTTTTTTCTCTGGGTGGAGCCTGCTCTTAGCCACACCCCTGGCTGAATATTCTAGCAGTTCAACATATGGATTCCAAAACTGGATTCACATCCTGGCTCTGTCTTGAATAGCTTTAAGACCTTGGGCAAGTTACTTAATGTGTTCCATGGGTCAGTTTTCTCATCTGTAAAATGGGAATAATAATTGTATCTACCTCAGGAGGTTATTATGCAAATTAAATTATTTTATAAAGTGCTTGGAATATGCCTGGTACAAAATAAATGCTAACTATATGTTAGCCGTTACTGTTATCTTCATGATCTTCTCAAATATGCCCTTATTTGAATGCTTCTAGGGGCAAGAGAGAATGCACTCACTGTCCCCACCCCACCCTCCTCCTCCATTGCCACAAGGCAGCCCACTGACATGTTAGCCAGAAGCATTCTGTTTAGCATGAGCTTTGGAGTCAGACAGACTTGAGTGTGAAATCTTATTCTATCTACACCTTGATATGATAACCCATGGTATCTTCAGCTATAAAATGGCAGCAGTAATACCTACTTCATTTGGCTTTTTTGAGGACTAGTTAGAGTACTATATATATATGAAGTACTTAGCATGATTCCAGCTACATGGTAGGTACTCAATAAATGATAGTTGCTGCTATGATGATGGTTAGGAAGAACAAGAAGAAAACAGAATAGAAGGAGGAAGAAGGAAGTAGCACAGCCGCACACGAGCAGCTTCAAGAGTCCTTTCTGGCCAGCTGAATTCTGCGTTCCTGTGATCTCACCGGTCCCAGCCCTGCCCACTGGCGCTGCACGTAACATGTCTGATCTGCTTGGCAGTCCTTCAGCTACCCCTTTCCTTATAGCAGCAGCCACCACCACCACTTCTCAGTTCTCTCTTGAACGGGACCCAGAGCATGGCATGATGGTTCCATAGCATGGCCACCTGTCTTGCAGGGGAGAACCCCATCCCCCTAGGTTCCCCTACAGCCTTTTTGTCCATGCAGGCAAAAAAAGAATGGAAGCAGAGGTTGTCCTTGTTCATTCTGAAATTTCTGTCTAAAATGACCTCCGAAGAAGAAAACCATTGCTTCTGATCTGGGGTACCAGAAGGAACAGCCCCCAAACAGCCACGTTTGCTGTGAAGTAGCTCAGCATGGCCTCACTGAAACTATCCAAGGGGGTCTCTAGTTATTGAGGCATTAGCCTAGCAGGGCAGCAGGGCAGAAATAAGAAAGGCAGCCCAGTGCAGACCTGCGCTCCAGGAGGCTTCAGGAAAAGAGCTCCAGCTGTGAAGTGGGACCAGGACCCCTCTCCAAGGCAACATTCCAGCCAGTAATGGCTACCACTCACTGAGCATGTACTGGCTTGAGCACTGTACCAGAAGCTTTACCAACACTCCATTTAACCATCACACCAACCTATGAACGAGAAACTGATTATTCTCATCTTAGAGATGGAGAAACCTAGGCTCTGTGGTTATAGAACTTCAAGGTCTATAGGTAGTAAAGTGAGAACAGGGATTTGCATCTAAGTTTGCTTCAGTCTTTTTAACCATTATACTGTATAGACAGACCCCTACTAACCACGTGGCCTTAAACAAGTGGCAGCCACTTTGAGCCTCAATTTTGCCACCTCTACCTACCTTGCATGGTTGTTACAGGAATTAAATGAAATAACATGAAGTCCCTGGCATGTAATAGGTGTTCAAAAAACTTTAGTTTCCTCCTTTTCAAGTCCCAGCTGTCTCACCCAAAGTGACAGAGAAAATCACTTAACTTTCCTGGGACACAGTTTTCTGAACCTCTAACCCTGGATGTTGACAGCTTAGGCAGGGTGCAGTTTGGGCCCGAGGCTCCAGCCTCCAGCCTCCCTGCCTGTTTTGCTTCATAGCATTTCTGCTGGTGTGCATAGGCTCTGGAACTATTATGATTATGGTTTCTCCCAACAAACATCATATTTACAAACCACAAATAACAAAGCACAAGATGCCGGAAGAGCTCTGGCATGTTAATTAAGAACAATAGCGGAAGCAGCTGGGCAGAAAATACCAACGAGTCTGAAGCAGAGTCTCTGTTGACAAGAGACAGTGCAATATTGTACATTAATTGGGGATGTGGGTAAACATTTGCCGCAGCTTGCCCCCCAGTGCATTGGAAGACAGACAGCAGGCTGGGCCCTCCCCACCACCTTGCCTGCCCATCTGCCCAGAACCCAAGAGATACCAGTACAGCCACTTTGCTCTGGGTTCCGTGTAAGCAGAGAGGATTCTGGTGGTTGATGTGTCTCCTTAATGACCCCCCTGGGCCTACCAGGTTTCCATCTGGATACAGTCGAAGATGAAGATAGTGTTCCTCCTTCAGCTCTCCAGCCTGCTTGTGACACTAGGCTCCCAGGGCCCTCATCCCCCTTGAGTAGAAGACAGTGGAGCCATCTCATTAGGTGTGGCTTGAGTTGAGCAGAGGACAAGATTGCCAGCCTCAGGTGCTATATTCTCTGCGGACCACAGGCCCAGAGTCCCTGTATCTCACATAGCAGACTACCCAGCCTCCCATCACACACAGACCTGTCCATTTATCTGTGTGTCTGTCCATCCTTAGTTATTCACATACACGGTAGCCATCATTGAACACCTGCTCTGTGCTGGACACTGCTAATTGTATATTTTTTTCTCATTTAATCCTCACATCAGTCCTGCATGGTTGATATTAACTCCAAAGACAGAAAGCTAATAGCCAAGACAGCTATGATTTAAACCGGAATCTTTTTTTTTTTTTAAGATTTTATTTATTTATTTCAGAGGGACAGCAGGGGTAGGGGGGGGAGAGAGAGAGAGAGAGCATGAGCAGGGGGAGGGGGCAGAGGCAGAGGGAGAAGCAGACTCCCTGCCGAGCAGGGAGCCTAATGCGGAGCTTGACCCCGGGACCATGACCTGGGCCGAAGGCAGACGCCTAACCGATTGAGGCACCCAGGCACCCCTTAAACCGGAATCTTTCTGGTTCCAAAGCCCACTGTCACTTCCACTAAACTAGTATTTCTTTTTTTTTTTTTTTTAATTTATTTATTTGACAGAGAAAGACACAGCGAGAGAGGGAACACAAACGGGGAGTGGGAGAGGGAGAAGCAGACTCCCTGCCGAGCAGGGAGCCCAAATCGGGACTCGATCCTGGGACTCCAGGATCATGACCTGAGCCGAAGGCAGTCGCTTAACCAACTGAGCCACCCAGGCACCCTAAATTAGTATTTCTCAACTTTTTAAAATTCATACTCCCTGCTGATAAATAGGAAAACTGTTTCTTTCTCTCACTCTCAGATTCATAAATCCTCCATCCCTGCCCCTGGCCTAGGAGTCATAAATCTACTTTAGGATTCCTATATGACTAGCATTTCCCAACTGAGCCAAGATTTGGTCTAGCTTTACTCCCTATAGTTCATACTATTAAATAATGATTTTTTTTATTTCTAAAATAGAAAGTCTTATTATGGCATTGACTATTTTTTCAAACTAAATATCCTCCCCCTCCACCAACAAGGAGATTGTGATACGCCTTCCTAGGGAGACTTTCCCTCAGAGGAGGATATTCATCTTTGGGCATGGTAGAATAGGCATTGTCCAGTTTACTACAGGAAGGTTTAGCCAGAAAATCAGCCCCGAGGACTTAGCTCTTTTCCTACCAAGCAGAAAAGTGCGCCCATGCTGTCAGGAGTTAATGAAGCGCAGAGGTCCCCAGAATGCCAATCAGTTGTTTAGCCAGTACCCTTTCCTAAGGGGCTTCCGTTCTGTGGGTCAAGCTGTGCTGTGCAGGAGGCACGGATCTCCCACCTGCCCAGGAAGAGGTCCAGGCTCCTGAAGCTGTGCCTGCCTGTGGTCACATGCTAGTTCTTCCACTAATCTATGAGCCGTGACCTCTCTGAGCCCTGGTGTCCTTGGTTCTAAGATGGAAATCGCACCACATACGTCCCAGGTTTATTGTGAGCATCTAATAAGATGATAGATTCGGACATGCTGAGGCCACTGCGTAGCAGGCTGAGAGCCAGTGTGCACAGGGAGGACCCGAACGCCATGAGGAGATTGTTCCAATCTTTTAAATGTGTTTTCTTTCTTTTTAGGTAACCCAGCTGGACCCAAATAAATCACTATTGGAGGTAAAGTTGTTCCCTCAAGAAACCCTTTTCCTTGAAGCAAAAGAGTAAACATGGCCCAGCAGTGGAACCAGCCTTCCTTGACAAGCCAGAGGCCTGCATCAAGAGAAGGGCTCCTCGCCAACCCACCTACACGCTCGTCTCACTCAACTCAATGTCACACTTCTGCCTCTTGCAAGATTGCTGGAAAAAAGTAATAATAAACATAGCTACTTAAAATTTCCCATCCACGAGTATATGTTCCCAATCCTCATAGAAAATTACAACTCTGCAGCCCTCCCTTATCCCCTTCACCTCACCCTTATTCAATGACTAATGCACTGTTCAAGTGTGAGTGACCACGAAGTAGAATTTTTACCTCTCCAGTGCCCACCGTTTCCCCACACTGTCTAGGACAGTTCTGTCTGCCCTGGGACACCAGGATGCCATGTATTTGATACGTCTCATTGAGCCAGGGCTCATACACCTCTGCCTTTTTATTTTCACAACTGGATTTCTACTTTGTCACCTAATTTTAAAAGGCATGGGGAAAAAAGTCAAATGGGACTTCTCAGCATGGAGATTAAACGTTGTTGTAGGAAAAAAAGCATATCATTTTTGTTGGTACTTTCTGACTTATTTACTAAGATGTGAGGTTGTGTTTGAGGACTGCATTTGACATATATGCAAGATACTTATTTTAAACTGCAGCTGCCTTGGGTCTCCAGGTTCCATCTAGGAGGTATCTGCTCTTCCAGTGCAGCGTGGAAAACTGTTGAAGCGCATTATGTGAATGTTGAGATAGTGTGAAGAGGACCAGTACCAGGACTTTGGTATCTGGCCCAGATGCAAGAAGCTGCTGTTTGCATTTGGGCAGTTCGAACCTCATAGATACCAGCTCCCACAGAGCTGGTCCATCAGTGAACACAGTTCTCTCCTGCTTTTCTCTCCCTCTGCTCCACCATGTGTTGGGACCTTGTTACTTGGTATTTTAAGCACCTTGTCTGTCATCAAAATCTGATCAGTCACGCCATGGACTCTGAGCCCCGCTATAAAACCTTGCTCCACTATTTCATTCTTTTAACGTTTCAGTATTAGATATTAGATTTGCATTTCAAATGAAAGATCTCATGGCTGAAAATTCTGATCTCATATATTTAAGAGAGCAAACTTGGGGGCTCAGCTCAGAAGACATGTGTTGCCTGAACCTACATATAATAATTTGGGAATGATTTAGTAAATACAGATTTTTGTTAATCTGTGGATTTGGGGTTTGAAGTTTAGTTCATGGAAGCACTATTGATGCCTTCACAGCCAATGATTTCTTTTTAGTCTTGGAATGTTTCTCCATATCTGTTTTTATGTCACCTGTGGTCTCTATCCCAGGGTTTGGGATTCTGATTTTGACATTTTGTATTTGTCCAAAGTACAGTCTAAGTGCTGGGTTTTTCCCCTGGCCCAATTCAAGGGGTTCTCAGAAGACTCTAACCGAAGCCTAAGATATGGCTGGTCCTTTTCCCTCTGCCTGGAAGTGGATATTGGCCAGGAAAATTCCTCCTGTGTCTTTTCTCTGGTGCTCCGACCAGGACCTCCCTGAACACTCTCTCGTAAGAGATGTGTTCCTAAAAGATAGTGCTACATCTGCTTAGAGTCAGGCCTTCTCTGCTCCAGAGGTCTCCCAGGGAGGCTGGAAGGAAAAGAGACCCACTATGGGGGGAATTCAGCTCTACTCCTACCTTCCTTTTTTTTTTTTTGTCCACACCTACCTTCCTAACCTGGTGGACCCAAAGACAGTCATTTCCAATGCTACAGATGCACTAGGGCACCAATTCTTCTTTTTCCAGGTATACCTTAGCTGCCATGCAGAAGCTATAGCCCTTAACCCAGGCCATACTCAGGAACAGAGCAAGAGTGTGGGTGGGAGTTGGAGAGACAGGACTCTGAATTTACTTTCATGGTTAACCTGTTCCATCTGATTTGGGTTTGGTTTCATCATATTGTTCTGCCCTGTCAGCTTCACTTCTGTATTCTAGTGATAGAGACTTTACTCTGAAAGTGATTTCATAAAAGTTATTAAATGCTTCTTGAACGTGTATGAAGTTTACACACCCTTTTTCAACCCTGTCTTGAGAGATTCTTCTAGTTCAGTCTCATGAAATCCTATCCTATAGGCCCCCATTGCTGGGAAAGGCCTCAGCTAATTGTCACTGTTCACTCACATCATTCTGGTCTACTGAGCTCCAGAACCGGAGGCCAAAGCAGTTTTGGGCTTTTTCTTACAAGCACAACATTAAAGGGACTTGCATAAAGTTAGGTTCCAAGAAAAACATCAAGTAACTTGCTATCACAAGAGGAGAATTTCTGCTATCACAGAAATAGCAATGTCCTTTGGCAATTCTTCCTCCTGCCCTTAAACTTCTTTGGGCTTTACATCCCAGCTGCCAGATGCAGTGAGTCAATCAGAACATGGGCTCCGTGTTCTTCTGCCCAGCTGTTTACAGTGAAGTTCCAGGACTCCCTGTCATCCTCACTTCCATTCCAGCTCATTCCTCTGTGTTCCTTGGATTATCAGTTGTATGTTTGGAGCATTAGTTTGAAGATTTAAGGAAGTATTGACAATTTCCCACAGACCCTGAGAAGGTGTAGTTTGGAGAGGTTTCTGGTTGGAAATGTTGCCATGCTCTGGCACCACTAGCTTTACGGGACACACAGGTGTTCATCTCTGAATTAAGCATCCAAAGTCTGAATTGGATGAGAACATCTTTTATGGAATCTTTCTTTTTTTAATGTAGGAGAATAGGATTTAGGCTTTTATAAGTTTTATTTGGTGACATTAGAAACATAAGTTTGCATTTGCATTAAAATTGCTACTCCCAAAGCTACACATACTGACCTGAGTATGCTGGTCAAAGGGATGGGTTTTAAAGATGTTGCAGAGCTCTGACAGATTTCCGCAAAAGCACAGAAGTTCTTCATTTGGATAGGGGAGCGGGTCTTCATTGTCTCCATGAGCAGCATCACTGATGAACACACTTCCGCCATCCCTCCCAGCTCCCCATCCACCCAGTCCCGGGTCCCACAGATGGATGGGACGTGGAATCCTAAATTCAGTTCAGGAGTAATCACATACACGTCACACTTCACAATCTGTGTGACCCTTTCACCTGCATTATCTCATTTGATCTTTTTAAAAATTCTTGGAGGGAGATCTCTCTCTCTCTCCTTTCTTTCGCTCTCATTTCTCGTTCCCTCTCCCCTTTTTTTCTCTCTCTCTCTCATTTCTCTTCTCTCTCTCTCTCTCTCACTCACTCACACACACACACACACAGACTTTAGTGTCTTCCAGTTTGAACCTTGGTTCTGCCACTTTATAGCTATGTGACCTTAAGGTGAGTAACCTCTCTGAACCTCAGCGTCCTGATAACATTCAGGTAGCATTTTGCAGTTTCCCACACCCTCTACACTCATCATCCCAGACCACTGCAGTGCGGGCTCAAAGGGCAGTGCTTGCCTAAGTCACACAGAATGTCAGGACAAGAGTCTGGACTCAAGCCCTAGGCTCTGATTTTCAGGTTCACGGCTCTTCTATAAAGAATCTCTAAATTTCATGTCCAAGAATGGGTCTTGGCATCCCCCACAATTGTGTATAAGAAGCTAAATGTAATTTTCTGGAAGGGAAAATCTGTATGCATCAGATTCTCAGTGGGCAATATTGATGCCAGAAAATTCAGAACCACCATTTACATCATGCAAACACCATCAGACTATTTGGGAAGTTGAATCTGCCCATTCTTTTCATCAAGCCACATTTTTATCTAAATGAAAGCTGCAACCCCCAAAGGGGGGGAGGGTGGAGATAACAACAGTTGGGCTTCCTTGCCTTGAACCTCCCTCTGCATTCAGTGCTTCTCTCTCATCTCAAATAATCTGCTTTGGAAGATGACCCCTAACAACTGCCATGGCTTTACAGCTCCTCCCTGCTGTATTTTGAAAGTGTGGTCTGAAAGGAAATACCAATAAAAGAGACTTGCTCTCCAGTCTTCATTCTGTTAACTCTTAGTTTGCACACTGTTAGTTGTGGTTCTCAGTTTTGAGAGGTGATGTGTGTGGCCAAGAGCATGGTCTCTGGAGCCACGTTGCCTGGGTCCAAGCCGCTCCTGCACTTACTAGTAGCGTGCCCTCAGGAAGTCACTTCACCTTCTTGTGCCTCCGCATTTGGGCTATAAAATGGAAATAATTACAGTACTTGGTTGATAAGGTTGTGAAGATTAAGTGAACTAACATTTAACAATTAGTTAACACGTAAAGCAGTTAGCTATCATCTGGTCTGCAAACTCACACAGGATTACAAAAGGAAAGGAGAGTGGGTGATGATAATGACAACTGGCAGTTTATGGGGGAGGACACAGGAAATGTGAACAGCAGATGCAAGAAGTCCAAGAATACTGCTCTGGGGCCCTCCAGGGAAGGTTAAAGAGCCTTGCACAAAGTGTCACTGTTACTGGTGTCCAGAGGCTAAGCCTGGGGCATCATGGGAAGGAGGGGAGAGGAGACCTAACTTGCTGAGCACTTAGGATGTGCCCAGTACTGTGCTCAGAGCATTACATACATTACCTCGTGTAACCCCACAACAACCCTGTCGAATGGGTGATCCTGACCCCATTTTGAAGCAACAGGCTCAAAGAGGTGAAGTGTGACTTGCCCGAGCTCCACAGCTAATAAAGAGCAGAACAGAGTTTGAGACCCAGACCTTTGACTCTAAAGCTCCTGCTGTTTATGTCAATGCAGTACCACCTTCAGGAAAAGTATGCCCTTTTACCAAAGCATTTCCAATAATCGTAATAATATTTTCTAACTGTTGGTGGATACAAAAATGGGTAAAGCCCCATTTCCATAGAGAATTCAGCTCTCCAAAATGACTCATTCCCCAAGGTGTCAGGGGCCAGGTTTTAAGCAATGCCTTTTATTTTTAAGCACATGCAACATTTTAAGAAGAATCCTGCAGCTTCTACCTCTTGGACATCTCCAAAGTCCATTCCTTGCTCCTTCACCCATTATCCCATGGGCATTTCTTCCGTCAGACCTTTGTTGTCTCTCACCTGGGTTATAAAACCACATCCTAATTGATTTCCCTTTCTCAGTCCTTCTCTTCGAGACCAGTCTCCACGAAGCTGCCAGAAAGAGCTTTCTAAAACCCCTGCCTCAATATGCCACACCCATGCCTTCATACCCTCAGAGGCTTACCATTGCCCTCCAAGTAAAATCCAAACTCAGCTTGCATTTAAAACTCCTGCCATCTGGCCCCTACCTCCCTTCCCATCTACCTCCAGCCATGCCCTCAACACACATCCAGAGTCACCTGCAATCTTCTGAAAGCATCAGCTTTGTATCACCTCTGGCCTTGGACACTATTCCCTTTGTCGCCACCAGACTCCTGCCACCTCTCCATCCTTCACTTTCAGTTTAGACTTCATTTCCTCCAAAATGGTTTCTCTGACCACTGCTACAGCCTCCCCACACCCTCCAAGTTAGGCGAGAATCTTCAGCCCTGTGCTGCCCTTTCTGTACATAGCGCTGGACCACTCTGAATCATAACTCTAAACTCGTATGTTCTTCCTGCCCCCATCCCAGACTGTGAGCCCTCCAAAGGGTCTAAATCACTTCTTATCCTCAAGGCCTAGCAAAATGACTAGTACATAGTAAGCACACAGGAAATTTTGACTTTGTTAACTGAGTTTCAACAAAGAAATGATGTCTGTGTGCAGGTGGTGACTTCATCTCTAACACCTTGCTCATCAGGGAACATTGTGAGAACAGAGACCAGGTCATAATCACCTGTTTATTTCAAGCCAGCCCAGGGTCAGCACGTAGCAGTCATGCACCCAGTGGTTACTGAAGCAGTTAGTTAATTGGAGCTGGAACAAAACCAACTGGAGCTGCTGAGAAGAGACAAAGGGTAAAGGAATTCCTGTTGAGTACCCTGGTAAGCCCTGCACAGTGTCGCCCCCTAGCCATTCTCAGAAGTATTCCGCCAGGTCGCTACTGCTAATATCCTCATATTACAGTTAGGGGAACTGAGGCTCAGAGAAATGATGTCACTGTCCAGAGACACACAGCTAGTAGAGAGGAGCTGAGAATCCACTCTGGATCTGAGCCCAAAGCTCACGCCTGCTCTGTTTCCCCTTATCCATGAGCCCCAGCCCCAGCCCCGGCCCTGAGCTGCTTTAGTAGCTGTAACTTCTAAGCCACAGGTGAGAGTAGAATAAAAATCCCCACACACTTTCTAGGATACTGCACGCCCCTAGTTTTCTTCCACTCCTCTGAAAAATCCCCCTGTGTCTCCTCTGCAGAGTTTTCCTGCTCTGCTTGCCTGTGAAATATCAGCAGCCCTGAATTCCTTCCTCTGCCCTCTGCTCTTCTCAAACTGTCCTTAGATAGGAGGCAATTTGTGCTTCGAGACTCAGCTCAGATTTTGCCTAAGGTATAAAACCCACAAGGGTAAGGTCTGTGTCAATCTGATCTGTTGTTTTATCCTTCCACACAGACCTGGCACTGTATATAGTGCTTGATAAATATTGAACATTTATATCATGTTTATTGAATGCCAGGCACTAAGTACTTCACTCCTCACAACAACCCTGTGAAGTAGGAGCTATTAATATCCCCACTTCATTGGTGAGCAAACTGAGGCACAAGAGATTAGGTAATTTGCCCAAGGTCACACAGCTAGTAAACCAAGGAGCCAGGATTCAAACGCAGGTGTTTTGGCTCCAGAGTTCAGGCTATTACCACTTCACTCCACTACCTCTCCTCCAGAAAGCCTCATGGAATCCCCAGGGCCAGGTTAGGGGCCTCTTCTAATCCCTGTGTTTGCCCCTAGCTGAGCACTTATCCTATTATTGTGATTATTTGCTCAGAAGTCTCCCTCTGTGGATCGTGACAGGTCTGGCCCCTGGGCCTGGCACAGGGCACAGACAGTAAATGTTATATGAATGAATGAACTACAAAACTACCCTATGAGATGGAACATACTATCCTGCTTCATACATTGATAAACTGAGGCTTAGAGAGGTTCAATCATTTGCCCAAAGTC